AAAAAAAAAAAAAAAAAAAATTGATAAGGTCTTTTTCCCACGCCGGAGAGAGTATTAATTCTGCCATCTCCTTTCTTTATCTTTAGGACTCCCAGAAGGCTCTAAGGGATGATATTTGAGCAGAGGCACATTCAGCACACAGTTATCCAAAAAAGTCAACATGTTTCATCCCTCCCCACACTCATTTAGTCTGAAATTACTGGCTTTTCCTCCCTCCTATGGTTTCTGCATTCACTTGCCCAATCATAGCCCCAAATTCACACTACCTGGTGAGCAGCCACATCTGCCTCTAGCAGGGCATGTTTCTTCTGGAGGTTCTGCACATTGGTAAGATCTTTGCCATAATCATCCGAAGCCAAGTGACCTTCTACTTCATACAGCCACAATTCAATATCCTCAACATTACGATTAAATTGCTGTTGCTGGTTGGCTTCACGAAGCTTTATTCCTATGGCAGGAAACGAGTTTAATTTTGTGTTGCTTCGCATTACCCTTCTGCCAACCTTGCTCATGAACAGTAGTATCTTAGTGAAGGACTATGCGTCAGAAGTTTACTCCTTCACTTATGTTACAAAGGAAAAGAAAATATGAATTGCAGCCTTTGCTCTACCTTCTCAAGGTTGAATTGGAAGCATTCTAACTCCCTTGAGATATAAGAACATTGGAGAATTAGTAAATGCCCTTGGCTCTCAGCCGAACTCTGAATTTTCAGCAATGAAGCCCGATTCAGTTCCTCTTCACTCAGACTCCCTCGCCAATGAGTATGCTCCACCACATTTACCAAATTAGTATCAAGAACTTAAGCCAAGTAACCTGATAGGAAATTATCCCTAATGCCAAAGTCATCCACCTCACCTGACTTAATAGATGTGCCTAAAACACTTAATAGAAAGGGGTATTTAGTTCCCCAAACATGCATGTCACAATTCAATGGAACATCTCTTACCTTTCAGTTCAGTGGCCTCTAGCAGTTTTTTCCACAAACTGATCACCTCATTCATGCGAGCTGCTACTTCATCCTTGGCATAGTGGTTGACATCAATCAGCTTTTGCCCAGCTTTCTCCAAGGCATCAATTCGGCTCTGGTTTGCTGACAGCTCAGCCTCAAAAGCCTGATGCTTCTGTACTTTTCCCTGTAGGTTGGATGGATCCTGCCAATAGAAGTAAGGGGCTTCTTTCTATCTTGAACTTGAGTATGTCAAGTTCCCTTGCATTACCTTCATACTTATGGGGGAATGTATAAAACAGTTGGCTTACATAAAGTAGTGCGGTTTTTGGAATCCCTTATTTCCTACTTTAGCTACAGTTTATTTGTGAGAGCTGTGTTTAGCTTACTAATCAAGTGCTACCCGGCAACACTCCCAGTACATTACTTTATAAGCTTCATCTGTGGCAGTTTTCATCTTCTCATTGACCCAGCTTTTGAGCTCATCAGAATCACGGAAAAACTGCTGCAAGTGGAATGAATCGGCTAGCTGGGCCCGGCGACGCATGGCTCTCTCATGAAGGGCATTGCGGCGGCTCAACAGCTGAAAGACAAGAATCCCCTGTGAGTCTCTAGTGTTTACTCCCAAAGGGATGTCAAGTTGAAGAGACTTAACTGCAACATCTTAGAAAAGATATCCATGTACCAAAAAGGAGAAGCATGAAGAACCTATAAACTTACAGCATCTCGGCGAGTGGCCACATCTTCCATTGCATAGTGGTTGTTCTGAATTAGCTTGGTTGCAAATTCATCTAATGCCTAGGAAGATAAAAATTCTTCATTGGTAAACACACTAGTCCCTAGCTTGCCCTCTAGAGAAAAGTAGCTGCTGAACAGATCATAAAACACACGAAACTTTAACATAGGTCAAGGGTTTCACCCAAAGCTTGGTGATGACATTTTTCTCACAATTTCGAGATTTTGCTTAATGTTATCAGTCAGGTATCACAAGACTGTGCCACCACCCTTCCAGACTGGAGACATTAGTGTGGCACAATCTCCTGGTGGGGGTCAAATACAGGTTAACAGCTTTCCAAATTCTGATTTTTAAGATGTATTTTCAATGGGAAGAGTACCTCTTAATATTAACCCCGACCTACTTTTAATGAAGGGTACAAACTTAATGAAGTTTGGAGGTTTCCGTTAAGTAAACAATTTCATTCTATAACGTTGGGTTATGTCCCCAACAAGATGGCATGTCAACCTTGTGAAAGTTTAAGCACCCACAAGATTGCTATACATACGAATCTTTCATCAAATGTGTTCGGAATCCTTCCAGAAAAAGAGATTCTGGCTTACTGTAAGGGTCATCTGAAGGCATTGACAAGTAGGGGCCTTACTGTAATCTTTTCCTCCTGGGCACTGAGGGATTTCTCAAAGTCTTCATGCTTCTTAAGAAGTGCTTCCACACTATCTAAGGAATCTCCCAAGTCTTCATTCAATAGGAACGCCTTGCCAAAGGAAACAAAGTGTTCAGATTAATGTCCTATTCTTTCGATCTTCTTCTTCTCCTTTTTTTTTTTTTTTTTTTTTTT